CTATATACAATTTAAAACTTTTATATTGTTCAAGTTTTAGAGCCAAAAGAAAAGAAGAAACCTTAGAAAAATACTTCCTGAGATATGATAAAGGCAGGATTATTTTATTTAATATTTTTAAATACACTCACAAAAAAAGCTAACAGTGCTTTAAAGACAGGCAAAATATATGAATAAAAAGTTTGCTAAAAACATGTGTGATAGATATATGCAGCTTCACGCATTTAAATTGTGTGATAAATCAATAATTTAATTTTTTTTCTACATCTCAAGTCAAGGATGGTTGGTGTGATAGTGTTGACAAGGTGCGGGCAAAAAATCACTTCCACATCATTGGGTGCAACATCATTGGAGGCCTCCTGAAACATTGTCTATTGCACCAGAAAAATCCAGTAGATGTACTTCAGGTTGCAGTTCTGCTTCTACACAAGAAACCTACAAACACATACAAAAAACCCATCAAGGATGTTTGAGGTGGGGTTGTTAGTAATAACAGGTAGTTAATCCATTTTTCATTGATAGGTGTTGTTGTATGTGTGTGTGATACCACATAATGGAAGACAAAAGAGCGACAGTTTTTAAAGTAGTTGATCCGTATGTAATGGAAAGAACAGTGAGATGGTAGAGTTATATAGAAAGGGCTTAGTGACCCCTGTGCTCCTACAGGGAAGTCACAATATAGTCACCAGGTTGGGTCTATGAGGTCCCTGAGGCTGAAATAACCTATCACCCTTTTTAAAATCAGTTCACAGGTTTCCTGGCTCTTTTTGCAGAAAATAATTTTCAGGAAGGACCAGTAAAAAGGAGACATGAAAGGAATTTATTTGACACACTCCATCTGGGAGTGTGAGGGTATGAGGACAAGTTACAAGCGGGAGCGGGGCACATTAAAGGAGTGTCTTCCAGGTCAGCGATTTAGGACATGTAGTCTCACTGTCAGATCACGTTGTCAGCCACCTACGTGCATTGGAAGTCAAGACTGGTTGTTTAATGTTGACACACGCTTCAAACATATGCAGCTCTTTCCTGGGCTTGAGGAAAGGCAATTTCTAGGTGAGGAGAACAGGTCTAGTGCCCAGAATTTAGAGACTATTACAAAAGAACCTCTCTCTTTCTGTCTCTTTCTTTCTTTCTTTCTTTCTTTCTTTCTTTCTTTCTTTCTTTCTTTCTTTCTTTCTTTCTCTTTCTTTCTTTGACACACTCCATCTGGGAGTGTGAGGGTATGAGGACAAGTTACAAGCGGGAGCGGGGCACATTAAAGGAGTGTCTTCTCTTTCTTTCTTTCTTTCTTTCTTTCTTTCTTTCTTTCTTTCTTTCTTCTTTCTCTCTCTCTCTCTCTCTCTCTCTCTCTTTCTTCTTTCTCTTTCTTTCTCTTTCTTTCTTTCTTTCTTTCTTTCTTTCTTTCTTTCTTTCTTTCTTTCTTTCTTTGTGGTGCTGGGGACTGAACTTAG